AAAAAAAAGAAAGAATCTAATAATTAAAATCGATAAATGAAACAAAAATTTCGAATTATTCGATTCCTTTCTTTCGTTTCGTTTTTAATTTACATATTTTTTTCTTTTTCTCTTACATTTCGAATATTAAGATATCAAGAATTAAAATTAAAATATCATTTAATCGTATTAGTCGTAAATCGAATTCCAAAAATAAAAATTAGAAATAAAACGAAAATATAACGTAATAAATTTGAAAAAAGAAAAAGAAATTAGCACGTTCGGGATGATACCGGTGGAAACGAAATTATGAATTAATAGAGAGAATAAAGGCAGGAAATCTTAAGCATGAAATTTTAGTTTATTAATATACGAATATTTATTAATTTGAGATGTTAAACGATTTTCGATTCTAAATTTCGTGCGCAAACGTTATTGCATCGAATGCTGCTTATCCAGATGTTTCGACGGTTTTCGTTGTATAGTAGTCGAGTACCCGATAAACGTTTTGTTGCATCGGCCTATCTATAGTATATCCGATCTATGATCCATCAAAAATCTGATCGTTTGTTCTTAAGAAATTAAACGCGTTAAATTTAACTAATGTCAAATACGAGTCTTAGGGAAGGACCATCTTGTTTCTGTGCTGCCTCGCGAAACTTCTTTTCAGCGATGAACGATACAAAAAATTCTATCGAATGTTACTTCTATTCTCTATCTCGTCTATGACTTGGAGGTTAGTCTTATATCCTTCGTTTTCTCGCGAGTTTTCGATGTGTCCGTAGATGTGTAAACGTTAGTATTTGTGAAGATAAATTATTGTTTTTACTTTAATTTCTCTCAAAAATATATAATTTTAATTTATATAATTATTAAAATGATACGTTTCGTATGGATTTGGAAAATTATTTTTCGTTGCGCGATGTTTATTCTATGTATTCAGTCCGAGATATTTGTAAGTAATAAAAATATTGGTTAGGTTGTAAAATAAACTTTCTTAAATTTGTTTTGTATATTGTTATTTTTTACGTCAAAATTTCGTTCGATAAAGAAACATTGTTTTTCAAAAAGTTAAAAAAAAATGATTCTATTTCTTAATTTATATTTTATGTTATATTATAATTAAGATTTTTGATAAGAAGTAAATACGTGTCTCGAGTAAAGTTTTTAAAATACGTTTTAAATATTTGTTATAATGTGGTATTTTGAACTATATAATTTAACTGTTTTCTTTATTTTTCGTAAATAAACGTGCTATGTGAAATGTAAAGTACAGTGAATTTTTTAACGCGAAAATATTTAAAATATGAATATTTAGAAATGTATTAATTTTTTGATATGACGTATTTTCATTTTTTTTTCTTTCTCGTAAAATCTACGTTGTACGTAGCTGTATCTCGTATAGAGAAATGCGTATAATTTTTATCTTCGCTATGTACGTAAGTGATATGTGATTGATTCCACGTAAAATTTAACCGAATATTAATAAAACTTATTGGCAAACTTTTAAGCATTTTCAGTTTTTAATATTTTTTATTGAGTAAAATATTATTTCCTGCTGAGAAGAAAAAAATTATGATTTGATTATGATTTCTTATCTCTGTAAGAATTGAGAATTGTAATAACTGTAATAATTTGCTTGATACCGGTATAATAATGAAATTTATGAAATGCAGAATTTATATTATACCTGTGCTAAACATATATAAAATATATAGGATGAGTGTAACAAGTATTAATTTTATAAATAATATATTTTAATAAATAAAGATTGATTGATTGTAATTTTAACTTTTATATTATATTTTCAGGATATTGTAAACTCTGTGAAGGTGAATTTCTCGTGCTTGAACCGAACTGCTGGGTTTTATGCGGATACGGATGCTAATTGTAAAATATATTATACCTGTGATGAATATGGGAATAAATTTACTTATCATTGCCCGGAAGAAACTGCTTTTCGACAAGATGCCTTGATATGCGATCATGCTCATCTTGTGCATTGTGAAAAAAGTATTTCACGCTCTACTCTGAAAGAATATAATGAAAAACCCGAGGAAACCAAGGATGATGATTCTTCTTATCCAAAAGATAAGGGTCGATCTCTTTTTCCTTCTTTCCCTGTGACGCAATTGATGAAAACGAATAACGAAGTGGGATATAAATTTATCTCTAATTCTGATCGACTGTTCAAAAATCTAGATAAAACTACTGAAAATAAAGCGATTGATTCATTTTATCCGTCGAATTATAATAATGTCGCTACTAATTCTGAGACAAATACTGGAACGCGTTATATGATTGGTGAATATGATAAAAATGGTTTAAAGAAAAATGAAAGTTTTTCTATTCGGATCCAAAGTTTTTACGACAAGGATAAACGTAATGAGAAATCCACGCTTAACCAAAGAGATTATTCGCAACGAAAAATGAACGATGCTGTGTATAATCTCCTAAAAGTGTCTTCGAATACGTTATCTCAAAATATTCAAACTCAAGGGAATAATGTAAAGGATTATCAACCTGTCAAAAATGCTGATCATTTTTTGAAATTATCTTCTATAAATTATAGAAATTATCCATATTTGGAAACGTTGAAATCTATTCAAAGAAATACAAAAATTCTTCCTACTACGGCCGGTACTGCGACGACGAATATCTCCTTGGCTACTACTGAATTACCTGTATACGCTTTAACGTTATCTTTAAAACCTTTAATACCGAATGAATTAGAATACGATCCGTATTATCCAGGATATTCCACGACAACGGAAACTTATTATACTCCCGTGCAAAATATTAAAGAATGGTCTCTGGTTGGAAATTCTACTCGAACGATGTGGTCCAATATTCATTTTCAATTACCATCGGTTTTACCAGACTTAAATTCTCTGGATGATATTGTTGATCGTAGAAAGTTGCTTTATATTCCTCGAATTAAGTTCAATTGATATAAATATTTTTTTATCAAATATAAATAAATGTATAAATTTTGCGAGATTATTTATTTGAATTAATTATAAAATAAATTATAACTATAAATTTAAACTAGCAAAAATTAATAAAATTAAATAAATAGATTATATATATTTATTCAGAATTGATATTAAATATTTCCTACGAATTTTTGTTATAAATTTAATGAAGAAATAAATGAAGGAAAACGAATATTTAATCGTACATTTCTTTGATTGTTAAATAAGAATTTCATGTAAAAATTTCGAGTGATGTAAGTAATGTAAATAAAATAATTAATTATTAAAGATAGCTCCTAAGGTTTTTCTCCTATTTATATCCGATTATAATATCTGATACTTTGCTCTTTATTATCTTATTCGTTTATTGAAAAACTTTTGAAAGCTTTGTTCGATTCTTTTGCCAAGTATTTTGACATTATTGTTAATGAAATGTTGCGTGCATGATTTAAAGTATTAAATAAATACTTGCACAAATTATTATTTAATAATTAATAAATTATCGGTATCAAAGTATCGTGCGAATGGACAAACTGAACGATATATTCGTATATTTAAAAAAATCGTTCAAAAATTTTCTAACGATTGAATTGAAACGGCGATTTTGCATCATTTTGCGCGAATCCTATTTCGTTGAAAAAAAAAAAAAAAATGAGAGATTAAAATTCGAAATTGAAATTTTATCAAGAATATTTGGTTCGAAAAAAAAAAAAAA